TTCCTTCCTTCCTTCCTTCCTTCCCTCCCTCCTTCCTTCCCTCCACAACTGAGAGACAGTCCTTCCTTCCTTCCTTCCTTCCTTCCTTCCTTCCTCCCTCCCTCCCTCCCTCCCTCCCTCCCTCCTTCCTTCCTTCCTTCCTTCCTTCCTTCCTTCCTTCCTTCCTTCCTTCCCTCCCTCCCTCCCTCCCTCCCTCCTTCCCTCCACAACTGGGAGACAGTCCTTCCTTCCTTCCTTCCTTCCTTCTTTCCTTCCTTCCTTCCTTCCTTCCTTCCTTCCTTCCTTCCTTCCTTCCCTCCCTCCTTCCCTCCCTCCCTCCCTCCCTCCACAACTGAGTGAGATTTTGCAGTGACAGAGAAGCTGTGGCTGCCTAAGAGGAGGGAGTTGACCTGTCTGGAGAGGCCCAGGAGCTAGTTCCCCTGCACTCCACAAGATCCTATTTCCAAGAAAAACCCACAGTGAGTCCCGGCCTTTCAGAAGAGGGGCTACCTGGGGAAGGGCAAATTCCCTATGGATGACTGATCTGTGACCAGAACTCCATGTGAGTTATTTTTTTTTTGCGGGGGCGGGGGGAGAGATGCGGTGGTTGTGGGAAGGAGGGGGGATCATGCTCGTGAACTACTTCTGACTCTGTGTAATGGGGTCCCAGATGCACCAGGGATGAAGCCAGAAACTGGGGAGCAGCTGTCTGCAAACGAAGCACCTTTACGTTGGTACTCTACCAGGCCAAGAATTCATTTCAGGACAAGAAGACACCTCTCTGTCATCCTTTCCTTCAACAACCGGAACAATAGTCATACCCGGTTTATCTAAGTCATCATGAAGGAATCACAGAACTAAGATCCCAAGAGTCCATGGCCCGCTGGAGCTTCCCTTCTGCTTGGGGATATTCCCACTTTGTTTCTGAGGTCATTTCCTCCGTGGCTGGCAAGACTGAGGGCCCCTCACTGGGCGGGCTGATTTGAGGAGGAAATTGGGGTACCTAACTTCAGAACATTTCATAAACTTTGCTTAAACAAATGTAAAACAAAACCAGGGGTTTGTAATAAAAACCATTTTTATGGAAACCAAACAAAACTAACGTGAGTTGCACCCAGCCGTTAGGAAGGCAAAGCAATTGCTGCTCTTCCTAAGCTTTACTGTTAAAGACAGGAGTCAAAGGACAGACAGGAACAGTACCTCCTGAGAGTCTTCCTGAGGCCCCTACTGCACCCACTCATCCCCCAGACCTCCTCTAGAGACAAAGGGCAGTCAGGTTTAACCCTTCCCTGGCACCGGGCTTTTTAAATACATAAAAGGTCCCATCAGACAGTTGCAGCAGCAAACAGGTAAAAGCTAGTATGTGGAGGCTGGAGCGATAGCACAGCAGGTAGGGCGTTTGCCTTGCATGCAGCCAACATGGCCGACACAGGTTCGATTCCCAGCACCCCATATGGTCTCCTGAGCACCGCCAGGGGCAATTCCTGAGTGCATGAGCCAGGAGTAACCCCTGAGCATCGCTGGGTGTGACCCAAAAAGCAAAAAAAAAAAAAAAAAAAAGCTAGTATGTGAATCATCTTGATCACTTGTGAGCACAGACCAGGCACTGTGATACACCCGCCCCCCCCCCCATGTGCATACTTCTCAATGAATTCTTGGGGGCTGGAGCAATAGCACAGAGGGTAAGGCATTTGCCTTGCACTCAGCCAACCCGGGTTCGATTCTCAGCATCCCAATGGCCCCCCGAGCACCACTAGGAGTAATTCCTAAGTGCATGAGCCAGGAGTTACCCCTGTGCATCGCCGGGTTTGGCCCAAAAAGCAAAAAAATAAATTAATGAATACAAATTCTTGAACAAAATACTGAGAAACAGGCTTAGAAGAAGGAACTTGTCTAGTGACTTTTACCCTGCAGGTAGGAGGCAAGTTCAGACCTAAAATATCTGCCTTTATAAAGTTACAAAGTAATGTTTTCAATGGAGTTCTTGAGCTTCAGAGCTCAAATCTTTTAGGGTATTGAATAATGCCTCGACTCGGCCATGTTGGCTGCATGCAAGGCAAACGCCCTACCGCTGCGCTATCGCTCCAACCAGTAAAGGTAAAGGCCCTCCCGTTGTTCATCGATTTGCTCGAGTAGGCCCAGTAACGTCTCCATTGGAGACTTTGTTGTTACTGTGTTTGGCATATCGAATACGTCACAGGGAGCTTGCCAGGCTCTGCCATGTGGGCGAGATACTCTCGGTAGCTTGCTGGGCTCTCTGAGAGGGGCGGAGGAATCGAACTCGGGCTGGAGCGATAGCACAGCGGGTAGGGCGTTCGCCTTACAAGCGGCCAACATGGTCGACCCGAGTTCGATTCCTCCGCCCCTCTCGGAGAGCCCGGCAAGCTACCGAGAGTATTCGATATGCCAGACACAGTAACAACAAAGTCTCCAATGGAGACGTTACTGGGCCCGCTCGAGCAAATCAACGGGAGGGCCTTTACCTTTACCTTTACCTATTGAATAATGCCAGGAATTGAACCTGGGCCTCATCCATGGAAGGCAGGTGCTCTACCTACCCCTGAGCTGATGTCCAGGTAAGTCAGTGTGTCTGTGCCTCACCACAGTCCTGAAACTGTGGTCATGCTGTCTTTTTGAGAATGTACATGAGTAAAGTGGTCACTGCCATGCATGGCCTCAGTACATATTTCCGAACTTCCTCCTGGGTTCCAGTCCCAAGACAATGCTGAACAGAATGTTCAGTCTCTGAGCCCTGGAATTCTGCTGACTAGTGAGGGGCAACAAACACGAACAGTAGAGGTACACAAATACTTAAGTAATTACATGCACATCATCATGCATTCTTGTTTGTTTGGCTTGGGGACTGCACCTGGCCGGAGGCAGGGCTGACTCCTGGATCTGCACTCTGAGATCACTCCGGGCTCCTTAAGTGGTGCTCAGACCTAACTAGGTCAGCAGTGGGTGGACAGACAAGCACCATACCCAGTGTACTATCTTGGTAGTCCCAAATGGAAAAATTTCTAAGTATCAAAACTACAAGCATGGTACAGAAAAAAGAAAAATATTCTTGGTAGGGGTTACTGTACCTTGTTGGGGTGCTCATAAGTGCTCCCTGGTAGTGCTCCAGGGACCAGTTGAATCCCTACCCAGCCTGCAAGACAAATGCCTTACTTGAAAGGGAAAATATCTGAAATACATGTGTCTGGTAGTGGGTCAGATCTATAGCATATAAACCTCCCTAAAGATAAGACTGGCTACCCTTTCTCTTGAAATAATACATAAACGGTCTAAGAGCTCATTAAGACATTAAAGCACATAAAAGCATTAGCTTAAAAAGCAAAGTTTTAAAATCACTTTAAGAAATAAACAGGTGAGGTCAGAGAGATAGTACAGTGGATAGGGCACTTACCTTGCATGCAGCCTACCTGGTTTCAATTCTCAGCACCCCATGTGTCCCCCAAGCCCTACCAGTAGTGACCTCTGAGCACAGAACCAGGAATAAGTCCTGAGCACTGTCAGATATGACCCCCCTCCCCTACAAAACAAAAGGAACGTACTTTGGGCCTAAATGATAGTACAGCAGGTAGAGTGTTTGCCTTACATGCGGCCAACCAGAGTTCAGTACCCAGCATCCCATATGGTCCCCTGAGCACCTCCAGGAATAATCCCTGAGTGCAGAGCCAGGAATAAGCCCTGAGCATTGCCAGGTGTGACTGAAAAACAAAACAAAAACAACAAAAAGAATTGAATGCAACTTTACCAAAATGGCTAAAAAAGCGTGTATATTGATCTACTTCAGGAAACTTTCAGGCAGTATCCAGCACAGCAGATCTGAACATACCTTAAGACCGAGCAACTTCAATGCTACATATATAGAGGAATGAGTGCACAATCAATCAAAATACATGTTCAAAATGATCATACTGTTTTCAGGAGTCCCTGGAATTAAGCTATGCACAATGAGAAACTGCTATCAGGGAACAGCCTCGTACCCCATGAAAAATATCGCCCGGTATTGTTCCGCTTCCTCCTACTGCTGAGGAATAATCAAGGTTAGTTCTTGAGAGCTAGGAGGGAAAGAGCAAACAGGCTGGAAAGTCCTTTCCATTACATCAAGGTACAAATTCGAGGAAACAACCAGCCACGCCCCAAACTATAGATACAAAAGGTACTTTTCGATGGAAAATGACACATATTCCTATTAAAAGTACATGTCTTTCCGCGTTGGTAGCAGGGGTAGGTAGAACCCAGGGTCCCATACGTGCAATCCAAGAGGTCCCCTAGAAAATATTGTGTTAGTATTGGGAGGTAATGGGTTTTTTTTAATTAAAAAAAAAGCTTTTTTAAAAAAGGAAGGAAGGAAGGAAGAAAGAAAGAAAGAAAGAAAGATGAGCCCCTTGATAAAGGAAAATAGTTTCCCAAGCAATCACCTAGGCTTTTTTATTTTGGTTGCTTGTCTTTGGTTTCGGGGCCACACCTCGCAATGCTCAGGGCATCCTCCTGGCTCTGCTTAGGGACCGTACGTGATGACGAGCATCGAACCCGGGTACGACACGTGCAGGGCAACCTCTCCTCGCTGCACAGACACAGCTATGGACATCTGAGACGAGAGGGGTTTCCTGCTTGGAGTCTCACGCCCGGCGGTGAGGAAGAGGGGATTGTGCAGGGCCGGGCATCGGACAGCGGGGCCACAGACTAGAGAGAAGGAGCGATGCGGGCGAAGCCCATCATCTGGTCTCGGGCCCCACTTTCCCCGCGGCCCAGACGTCGCGCGGCCGGAAGGGGGCGCGCGTCAGGCCCCGCCCCCGCCGGGCTCCCTGAGCTTCAGGCTCCGCCCCCCGGCTCCGGGAGCGCCAGGACCCGCCACCGCCGGGCCCCGCGTGCGCCAGGCCCCGCCCACTCCGGGCTCCTCGCGCCTGGCCCCGCCCCCGGGATCCGCCCCCGGGATCCGCCCCCGGCCCCTCCCGCCAGGTTGGCCCGACGGCTGAGGCGAAGCGACGCCATGGCAACTGCGGGGATCCCGCTCAGTGTGAGGGTGATGGCGGCGGGGGAACCGGGCGAGCCGGGCCGCTACGGCTTCAGGTTCCTGCCTCAGAAGACGTTCCCGGCCCTGAGCGCGCCCGAGACCGCCAGCCGCCTGCGACAGTGGTGAGGCGGGCTGGCGGCGACGGGCGACGGGCGGCGGGCGGCGGGCGCGGTCCGAGGCCCCCGCCCACCCGGTTCCCTCCCTCTCGCCCCAGGTCCATGCTGGGCAGGGTCCAGGCGCAGGCGTTCGGCTTCGACCGGCCCTTCCAGGCCTATCGCAAGGACGAGTTCGTGATGGTCAGTATGAGGCCCGGGCCCCGCGCGCGGAACGTCCGAGGGACAGGACGGCCGCGAGCGAGCCGCGGGCCGCAGCCGAGAGCCGCCCGCCCCCGCCTGCCCCGAGGCTCGCTCCCCTCTCTCCTCGCCCTCCCCCTCGCAGCCCTCATTCTCTCGCTCTCGTCTCTCCGCCTTCTCTTTTCTCTCGCTCTCTCCCTCAGCGCCCCACCTCTCTCCCTCTCTTCTCTCCTCTCTCCCTCTTCTCTCTCCTCTCGCTCTCTTCCTCTCAGCCCTCCCTCTCTCTTCCTCTCTTCTCTGCTCTCTCACTCTTCCTCTTTCTCTCACGCTCTTTCTCTCTTCCTGCTCTCTTCCTCTCAGCCCTCCCTCTCTCTCTCCCCCCTTTCTCCCTCTCCTCTCTCCTCTCGCTCACTTCCTCAGTCCTCTCTCCCTCTCTCTCTCTTCCTCTCTCTCTCCTCTCTTCCCTCATTCTCATTCTTTCTCTCTCCTCTCTTTCACTTTCTTTCCTCTCGCTCTCTCCCTCTCTTCTCTCCTCTCGCTCTCTTCCTGTCAGCCCTCTCTCTCCCTCTCCTCCCTCTTCTCTCCTCTCTCACTGTTGTTCTCCTCTCTCTCTCTCTCTCTCTCTCCCCTCTCTCTCTCTCTCTCACTGTCTCTTCCTCTCTGTTCTTTCTCTCCACTCTCCTCTCCTTTCTCTGGCTGGCCCAGGTTCATCCTAGGCACTCCCCAGGGCTCTGTGAGCACCACCAGGAGTGATCCCTGAACACAAACAGGAATAGGTCCAGACTTCTGCCAGGCGGGGCCCCAGAACAAAAACAAAAACAGCAAAAAGCATCTTTACAGTGTTGGCCTCTGCCCACCACCAATACAGTGTAGACTCCACAGAACCAGAACAGGGACTTGGTCTTGCTTGAAATACATACATGCATACATACATATATGTGTGTATATAAATATAGATATATATGTATATGTATGTATATATACATATAGGCATATGTATATATGTCTCTGTGTGTGTGTGCATACTCCAGGGACCAAACCTAGGGCCTAGTGCCTCACACAAAGCAGGTGCTCTCCAACTCACCTACATTCCAGGCCCCATAAAGTAGACACAGTTATAAGCGCGGCTTCAGTGTGTTCATCTTCACATTATAAGCTAGATCTCATCACTGCTACCTTTTTAGTACATGACATTCTACCAGTTTTTTATGCCTAATTGTGAAGGTCAGTGTTCAGGGGCTACTCCTGGTGGTGGTGGGTGTCCTTATTGTACTAGGAATTGAGCCCTGGACTTCTACTTTCTCAACCAGATGAACTTTAAGCTCTACATTTTCTCCATCTTAAAAAATACTCCTTCCAAGATCAGGAGCAATAGTACAGCAGGAATGGTGTGTGCCTTGTACGTGACCAACCTAGGTTCCATGTAAAGCATTTGCTCTGTCTCTTAGATTAAAATGTCCGTAAGGGGTTGGAGAGATAGTATAGTGGGTAAAGCACTTGCTTTACACATGGTCAACCCAGGTTCATTCCCCAGCATCCCATACCATATGATCCCTCAAATATCACCAGGAGTGACCCCTCAGCGTCGCTGGGTGTGACCTGATGAAACTAAAACAAAACCCTGATGAATCTTAGATCAAGAGTCAGGTTTCTTTTAATTGACATAACTTTACATTGTAAATATGTGTGCATCACTGAAAACAAACATATACCCCAGTAAATACACTCCTAAAGGCATAAAGTTCTTCAGTTGATCACAGGGTCCAGTTGAATTCCCTGATCTCATCTGACCTAACTCCCTATACTCTAGTCTGGTCAGTAATCTCTTCACTTTCTTTGAGTGGGGTGCCACTTCCTTTCTCAACCATATGACCTTTAAGCTCTATGTTTTCTCCATCTTAAAAAATACTTTTAAGAGCAGGAGCAGTAGTGCAGTAGAAATGGTGCTTGCCTTGCATGTGGCCAACCCGGGTTCCATCTCCAGAATCCCATCAGGTCTTCCAAGCCTGCCAAGAGTGATCTTTGAACACAGAGCCAGGAGTAAGCTCTGGGCACTACTGAGTGTGCCCCCCACTTCCCTACCCGAAAATAAAGCTCCTTCCAGAAATCATGGAACCAACTCAGACTGCTAGATTTTCAGAGATCTTTACTTGCTGACTTTTAAACTGTGCAATTTAAAATCCATTGTGAAAGTCAGCAAATGCTACAGTTCAAGGCTTTTCTTTGGAGGAGTGGAAAGTGACCATTAGCCATGTCTGTGAACTTCATGAAGGTAGGAAGATTCCTTGCCATCTGAATTTGGAATTAAGAAATCAAGTGCACTTTTAGTTGAGTGATGGGAGCAGGAGTCAAATTCAGATGAATACTGGAAGACTGAGAAACAGAACAAAGATTCCCGTTCCACAAACTGTTTAGGAAAGGAGAGTGATATAACTTTAAAGGAATGTGGAAGTAAGGAAAATATTTATTGCAGAAGTTAAACAACAAAGAATAATTCATAGAATCAACAATCTTTCTATGTCCCAATCTAATCTTTTTTTAAAATTTTTATTAGTGAAACACCAAGAGGTACAGTTGTAGACCCCAATCTAATCTTACGGTGTCCTCTGAGTCAGCTGTCCTCATCACATAAACCTCCAGTCACTACTGAAGTTGCTGAGGTTAATGGTTAATCTTCTACACTTTATATTATATTGAATTTTTTTTGAAATTCATTATAGTTGTTTAAGATTTCTCTCAAGGGGCCGCCAGAAAGTAAGTACAGTGGGTAGGGCTCTTACCTTGCACACAGCTGACTAGGGTTCTATTCTCAGCACTGCATAGGGTCCCCTGAGCCCACCAGGAGTGATTCCTGAGCACAGAACCACAAGTAAGTCCTGGACCCAGTGGGGTGTAGCCCCAACACACACCTCCCCATCTCAAGTAAAAAAAAAATCTTCAAGTATTTGGGTTTTATTTCTTTTTCCTCTTCTTTTTCTTTTCCCTTGTGATGACAGGATCACACACATTTGGTAGTGGTGCATCAGAGATCACACTTTCGTGCTGGGATGGGGCTTGAACTTGTGAGGTGGTATTCGTTCCTTCATGCTTACAATAAGAACATTACACCACTGAGCTATTCCAAAACATCATTCTGATTTTGTTGGTACTTGGCATCAAAACCAGAGCCTCATGCATATGAGATGTATGTGCTGTAACACTGAGCCATATTCCCAGCCTTTCACATTTTTGTTTTTAATGTTTCGAGGATCACACCTGAGGTGCTTAAGTATTATTCCCAGTGGTGTTCTGGGAGCATATAGTGCCAGGGACAGAACCCAGGCATCCTGCACACAAATCATATTCCAGCCTGCTGAGGTATTCTTTCCCCAATTCTCCTCAGCCTTCTTAAACTACCAAAACATTTATCATTTCCCTTCAAAGTTAACATCACAGATGTTTATTGAGCAACTGCTATATGTCAGGGCCTGTTCTGTGCCCTAGGGCTATAACAATGAGGCAAAACAAGGCTCCTACCCTTTCAGGGCTTTAATTGGATTGCAGTACTCTCCAGTAACTGCTTCCCCTCTTGCATAGATGGACTGGATTTAGTTCACTGTTCTTGTCTTGATGGATGTGATGTTGTTTGCAGGTTGTGACACTATAAACAATATGATTAAAAAAAAAGATTCCTATTACATATACCTTCTCTGTTAGTGGTTTCATTTCTGCAGGACACACACCCTGAAGTGGAATTTGTTGGATCTTAAGATACGCCTGTGTTTTTGATGACCAAGATAATACCCAATTACTTCCCCAAAAGATTGGAAAGATTCATGCTTTCGTAGCATGTGCAAGTGCATGTTTTCTGGCATGTTAGTCAGGACTTAACAGCTTTGTGAATTGTCAAATTCTGAGAAAAGTGGTTATCATGTGGGTTTTAATTTTATGTATCTCACTGCTCTTGCAGCTGAGTATATTTTTGTAAGTATATTGGCTACTTTTTTCAATTGGTTTTGGGGAGCTAAACCCAGCAGAACTTGTTTTGGTGCTGGGGTTTGAGTCGTCATTGCAAGCAGAGTATGAACTGTAGCACATTTAGCTACCTCCCCAGCCCTGTGTGCGTGTGCGTGTGCGTGTGTGTGTGTACGCGCGCGCGCGCATGTGTGTATACGCATGCCTACGAATCTGTATTGTGTGTCCTGAGGTTTGAGTAGTCAGTGAAGGCAGAGTATGAACTATAACACATTGACATAGATGGGGCTCCCAGCGTGTGTTTATATTTTGGGAGTCACACCCAAAGGTGCTTGGGGGCTATTCTCAGCTCTAGGCTGTGTGCTCAGTATCTCTCCAGGAGATTGTGGGACCATGCAGTGCTGAAGATCCACCCTGGGCCTCCTGCATGCCAAGTGTGTTTGTTCCAGCCACACTGTGTCTTTCACATGACTGCTTTTATCATGTCACCACCTTAAATCAGGTTATTCATTTTTTCTTCTATTTAATAGACTTTTTTAAACCATGAAAATGTCAGCTCTTTCTCCTTTTAATATATATGTTGCAATTTTGTCGTCTCAGCATATTCTCCTTTAAAACATGGATTTTTTGGGTCTGGAAAGATAGTACAGGGATTAAGAGGTATGCCTTGCATACAGCAGACCATGTTTGATTTCTGACTCCCAAGTGCAGCCCTGGGACCCTCCTCAAGCACTGTTAATAATGTTCCTGGAGGCCCTGAGCACCACAGGAGGCCCTGAAAAGCACCAAATCCTCAGGCTCAAGAATTTCCAGCAAGGACACTGGGCCTTTGAGCACTGCTCGGGAGTCCCCTGAGGGGAGATGCAGATAAACAATATTGGAGTTAAGGTTCTTGCCTGGCTTATACCTGACACCACAGGATCCCCTGAGCACTATCAGGATAAACCCCCAAGTACTACTGGCCTGGCCCTAAACTTGAACAAAATAAAGCCTTAAAAGCAGAGAAAAGAAAAAGACTATCTTTCCTATCTACTCAGCACCTTCTGAACATACATATGATTTAGGGATGATTCTTATCCTTGTCTATAGGAAGTTCAAAGTGAAACCCAAAACAGTTGTCCCTCTTGCACTCAGAGCAAGTACCCGGAGGCCCAGATGACTGGTGTGCTTCATCAATGCAGGCCGCATTTCAAGATGAATGACACAGGGAAGGGGGTGTCAAGGAAGTCCATGACACTGCCAAGGTGGCCACAGCCAGGTCCAGCTCACAGTGGGCCAGTAACTCCACTATGAATGTAAACACTGTTGTAGCCATATTACCTAAGTAAATTTCTTAAATTAGAAATCTCTGGAAAGGGGCTGGAGTGATAGTACAGCAGGTAGGGCGTTTGCCTTGCTAGCAGCCAACCCGGGTTCAATCTCAGCATCCCATATGATTCCCCAAGCACTGCCAGGAGTAATTCCTCAGTGCAGATTCAGGAGTAACCCCTGTGCATCACCAGGTGTGATCCAAAAAGCACCCCCCCCCAAAAAAAAAAAAACTTTAAAAAATTCCCAGAAAATTCTTTGACTATTTTTCTGCCATCATTTTTAGGAAGTCAAATTTATTACTTTTCTATGTGCTTCTTGGATACAATTAAATTGATGATTATTTTTATATTTGGTTATTGGAGGGTGTGATTATTACTAAGCTAATTACAATATTAAAAGAAAACAAAATTTAAATATTAACCATCTGGATTTCACTCTGTTATTATTTTCTTTTTTTTTCTTTTTTTGTAGGAGTACTGCTATTTATTCAGCCACTGATTAGCTGATTGAATTGTGCATGAACTCCACCTTACTTTTTTTTTCTTTTTCCATTTTTTATAATTTTATTTATTGAATCACCGTGAGAGCAGTTACAAAGCTTTTGGGTCTAAGTCTCATTCATACAATGAAACACCCATACCTTCACCAGTGCCCATTCTCCACCACCAAAAATCCCAGTATACCCCCATCCCACACCCTCCCCCTGCCTGTGGGGCAGATGATTTCTACATTACTCTCTCTCTACTTTGATCACATTCACTATTTCAACATCAGACCCACCATTATTTAAGATTTTACCCCAACACTCAGATCTGCTGAAAAGGCAACAATAGACAATTTGTGTTCTATTGCTGGTTATGAATAACATATGATGTCGTGTGGCTGCAGTAGGGCCATGTGGTTTTGAAATTCTGAAATTTTAACACTTAAATCTGGAGGGATTTCTGCCAAAAGCCACTGGGTTTAGAGATCTGCTCCTGAGTCTCTGGGATCATGGCCGTTGAGCAGCTTGATGAGGAGCCAAAGAGGCCATTTGTGGGTGATGACTTGGGGTCTCATTGGGGTGGGGAAGACAGGCCCGGCTCCACCTCCCCCACCCCATCCTGTGAGACATAACAAGTTTCGTCACTGCAGGCCCAAGCCCGACTGTCCAATGGCCTCTGGAGGATGACAGCCACCAAGTCGCCAAGAGGGAGCAGGCGGAGGGACAGCACCCATTCCCCCCTGGGGTGGCCCAGCGACAGTAACCTACTGCAGGGTCCGGACACATTTTGACAAAAGCTGCTGGGTTTTGAGATTTGTTTCTGAGTCTCTGGGATCAAGGCCGTTGAGCAGCTTGATGAGGAGCCAGAGAGGCCGTTTGTGGGCGATGACTTGGGGTCTCGTTAGGGTGGGGAGGACAGGCCTGGCTCCACCTCCCCGCCATCCCGTGAGACCCAACAAGTTTCGTCACTGCGGGCCCAAGCCTGACTGTCCAATGGCCTCTGGAGGATGACAGCCACCAAGTCGCCAAGAGGGAGCAGGCAGAGGGACAACACCCTTTCCTCCCTGGGGTGGCCCGGCAACACCCTTTCCTCCCTGGGGTGGCCCGGCGACAGTAACATACTGTGGAGTCCGGATGCATTTCTGCCAAATGCCACTGGGTTTTGAGATTTGTTTCTGAGTCTCTGGGATCATGGCCATTAAGCAGCTTGATCAGAAGCCAGAGAGGTCATTAGTGCACCATGACTTGGGGTCTCGTTGGGGTGGGGAGGACAAGCCTGGCTCCACCCTCATCACGTGAGGCCCTGTGTGTCTCATCACTGGGGGCCCAAATGTGACTATCCAGTGGCCTCAGACGGATGGCGGCCACTGGGCCGCCAGGGGGAGTAGGCCAAGGCACGAAACCTATTCCCACCTGGGTTGGCCCAGCACCAGTAGCCTACTGCAGAGACCAGACACATTTCTACCTAAAGCCACTGGGTTCTGAAATTCGTTTCTGAGTCTCTGGGATCATGTCCATTAAGCAGTTCAATCAGGAACCAAAGAGGCCTTGCCTCCAATTATATAGCTGAGCCGGAGGTGGTGTGTGGGTGTGTTTCCCACATACCTAACTTTTGGCCGTTTACTTTCTTGGTAAACTTTGCCCCAAGTTTTTGGGGTCTGGTCAAAGGCACAGCAGCAATTTGGGGGTATCTGGAAGTCTGAAGGCACCATGAGGCTGCTGATGCACTCACCTCACAGGTACAGATTGACCTGCTGGCGGCACCATACCCCCTCTGTTATTATTTTCTCTATATTAAATTATACCTAAAAGGTATCTGTACTTAAACATGGAATGTTATTCAGCTGTTAAAATTGAAAACAATTTCTTTATAAAAATCTTTCTAGTAATTTTACTAGTTAAAATTTGCCACTTCCCATTTTAATTCACTTTTTCAGTTATTTTACTATAGTTATTATTGTTAATACTATCTACTATTATTTAAAATAAAGTATCTAACTTGTTCCCCTTGAATTTGTATTCTAGGCATTTTTCAAGGACCCAAATGTTATTTCCAATTTGAAGTTACTTTCAGAATCTTCTGGAGACTGGGTTACATTAGGTAAATAAGACATTTTCTTTTTTTCTAAATACTGAATTACTGTTACAACAAATTTTGTCTCAGGACCATTTGGTGTTGAAAAAGAAATTGTAGTGAATGATTTGTTTGTTTGATAACATCAGGATCAGGTCCACTGAGCTGTGCAGGGCTTCTCTGCCTGCCCTCTTAGAGCCCGCTGCTCATCCTGGCTTAGCATAGCAGGATTTTTCTCTTTTCTCTCATTTGGAAAGTATTTAATGCGCAGCTTCCAGATATTTATTGTTCCTGCCAGATGTAGGGAAACATTTAGTTGGGTAAGAGCAAACCATACTCAAGAAACTTGTCAATATGTGTAAAAAAAATTACTTGTGTGCATGCAATATAGTCTCCACATACATAAAAATGCTTCTGTAGCAGCGGGAACAAGAGGAAGGTGGGGGTGGAGGGTGCTGATCTGCCCAGGAGAAAGCGTTTGTAAGCTTCCACTGATATCTGAGCATCAGGCAAAACCTCTCTCAGGACAGGGTCATGGATTTGTGACAGAGAAGCAGCCACCATGAAATTCTTTTTGTCCTTTTGATTTTTGGGCCCCACTTGGCACTTCTTAGGGCTTACTCCTGGCTCTGAGCTCAGGGATCACTCCTGGAAGAGTTCTGGAGACTGTATGGGGTGTTGCGGGTGGAACCCAGGTCAGTCACACGCAAGGCAAGCTCCCTACTATCATTTTGGCCCCTTTTAAACTTATATTTTATTGGTTTTTGGAAACACTTAGCTGTGCTCACAAGTCACTCCTGGAAAGATTCAGAGGACCACATGGGGTGCTAGGGATCAAATCTAGGTCCAGTATATGCAAGGCAATCATAGCCACTATACTATCTTTCTAGCCTTAACCTTGATACTTTCTTTTTTGTTTCTTTGTTTGTTTGTTTTTGGTCTTTTTTTTTTTTTGCTTTTTTTGGGGGAGTCACACCCAGTGATGCACAGGGGTTACTCCTGGCTTTGCACTCAGGAATTACTCCTGGTGGTGCCCGGGGGACCATATGGGATGCTGGGAATCAAACCTGGGTCGCATGCAAGGCAAATGCCCTACCCACTATGCTATCACTCCAGCCCAACCCTGAAACTTTTTTGAAAATTATGCCTGCACCTGAGAGATAGTACAGGAGTAAGAAGACCTATCTTGGGAGCAACTGAATCAGTTTGATCTAAAGAATTGGATGTGGTCCTCTGAGCACTGCCAAGAGTAATTCCTGAGCACAGAGCCAGGAGTAAGCCACTAGTACGGCTGATGTCACAAACAAAAACAAACAATAATAAATGCATGAATGCTATATTTTTAATTTTAGACTGAGGTCTCTTATGGTATAAATGATCCCATTTCAGGCTGCAGAGATAGTACAGTGAGTAAAGTGCTTACCTTACATATGGCTCACCCACGTTCAATCCCTGGCATTTTGTATGAGCCCACCAATAGTGATTCCTGAGTGCAGAGCCAGGAGTAATCCCTGAGCACTACTATATGTGGCCCCAAAAGCAAAATAAATAAATAATTCCATTTAGAAGGATAGTCTGCTTTGTAAAATGGATTTATGCTCATTGAAATTCAAGTTTATTTCAAATTTGGGATATTTTGGTACATTCTTACATTTCATTGTCATGGAATTTTAGTAGTCTTATATAGAATTTAGTTTAAAGTAGGTGCAGGAGAGGTAGTACAGCTGGGAGGGAGCTTGCCTTGCACGCAGTCGACCGTATTTGGTCCCTGGCATCCTCAAGGCCCACGGGGAATGATCCCTGAGGTCAGAGGCAAGAGTAAGCCCTGAGCAGAGCCAAGTGTGGCCCAAAACAAACCCAAAAAAAGAAACCAAGAACCGAAACCCCTTTAGTTTAAAGCATTAGTCAAGAACAAAATTATGGACAATTCACATGTTTCACATGTTAGATTTAGTAGGTCATATTTTACTGCTTTTGGCTAAAGACCATGGCAAAATTTAGAGCAAAATCTGGTACAATGTGACCTTGAAACTGTTCGTAAAGTTAAACCAAGTGTACTTACCAATTAAAAATCTTCAAATAAAAATCTTCCAAAGGAAGTCATCTATATATATAAACATTTATCTTAATCAACAACAATAATAAAAAGTTAAGTTCACCAAAACACATATTGTCTTTCCCTATATAGATACAAATTTCACACCAAAAAACCCCCACTTTTTAAAAATGCTCACACATGAGGGGCTGTAGCTATAATATAGTAGATAAGGCACTTACGCGTAGATGGTCAACCCAGGTTTGATTCCTGGCACCTTATATGATCCCCCAATCCCTCCCAGGAGTCATTCCTGAGTGCAGAGCCAGGAGTAAGCCCTGGGCACAGCCAGGTTTGACCCCGAAACCAAACCAGCAACAAAAATTTCACACATGCCTCACAATTAACTTCTAAGTTGGAGTTATACGGTGAACTCAGATCCAGACTAAAGACCTGTCCTCACCGCTGCTACTCGGACACTGGTGGGGCAATCTGGAAAGCACCAAATAAATGTGCAATATAGTGGCACTATGGGTCTCCTAAAATACAGAGACCAGAGGCTGGAAATAGTACAGTGGGTGAGGTGTTTTCCTTGCTCACAGCTGACCCACACCAAGCACAGCTGGGTGTGGTCTGCCCCCAAAATTAGAAACCAGATGTTGGAAACCAATTGCTCCAAAGCAGTAGCAGGTGCTGCTGACTGGATTGTATTCCCTAATCCACACCAAATTCTTGTGTTGATGCCTTAATCCCCAATGTGTTAGTATTTCAAGAGGAGACCTTTGAGAGATACTTAGGTTTAGACAAGTCTTGAGGGACTCTCACAATGTGATTAGTGCCCCTTACAGGAAGAGAATGAGAGAGCAGAGCTCTCTGCCTTATGTGGACACAGGGGGGCCGGGGGACGGGTAGCTGTCCTATATCAGCACCACTTGATTTTGGGCTTCCTGCCCTCCAGATCTGTGGGAAAGAGCTGTCTGCTTAAGCTTCCTTTTCCAAGAGATTTGGTGACAGCAATGTGAGCAGGCCAACACAGACTGTAGCTGGGACCTGAGTGCTCCTATAAGGAATATCTAGGATGCGGAAGAGTCTTTGAAACTGCAATGGGTATAGGCTGGAGGCTTCTGAGGTTCGTGCTAGAAATACATTGTTCAAGGTTATTTCCAGTGAGGTCTTGGGTGGAACTGAGAAACTGCATGAAGGGCTGTCCTGTTAGAAAATAAAAGATGACTTGAAGGCCAGGGACGTAGCTCAGTAGTAGAGCACTTACCTTTCAGGTGTGAGGTTGGCTTGATTCCCAGCACTGCCAAAACAAAACAAAAACAGGTCTGAAGAGATAGTACTATCAGGGTAGCCTTTTTCTAGCATGCAACCAACCTGGATTCAATCCCCAGCACTATATATAGTCCCCTGCACCTGCCAGGAGTAATCCCTGAGCACAGAGCCAGGAGTAATCCTTGAGTACCGCTGAGTGTGGTCCCAAGACCCAAAGCAAAGCAGATGAAATAGGAGATAGTAAGGCTGAATTGTGTTCTAGTGTGTTGTGGAAGGCAGACCTTGTGCATGAAAAAATTTGAAATTTAACTAAAGAGATTTCTAAGAGTGTAGAAGGAATGGTTTGTTTCCGTCCTGATTTTGGTCAAATATGAAAGGAGGCAGATCAAAGGAGTTGTTTAGCAAAACGCAACCAGAACTGTAAAAGATGGGACATTCTTATTCTCTGCATTGTTGCAAAAACAGAACAGTTCTGTGCCAGGGGTGCTACTCAAATAGAAGAGCGTGTCCTCTCCTGTTCCCCAAGCCAACACCCTTAGTCCCACTGGATGCAGCCCCAGGGCCTGAAGAAAACACGAAGGGTGTGGCTGATCAACTCAGAGACCTGATGGTCCTTTCTCCAGAAGCCAGAATGAGGTGGGGTGGTTCTACCTTAGACACTGCCAGTATGAACTAAGGAGAGCAAGAAATGAGAGACAATGAAGGCAGCCTGTCAGGTTACTCAGGCCCTGGAGGACCCAGCGAGAGAGCCTCTCAGCTGCATACATGCACGGTTCTTCACTGCCCACCACTCACCATGACCTCATTCAGCTAATTAACTCCCCCAAGGCCCCATTTTCAAATACCATCACTTTGGGTGTAAAGACTTCCTCTTAGAGAGACAAAACTCTCTCCATATTCCCATACGTCAGGTTAAGTTGTTTGGATTTAAGTGCTTTCTCTCCCCATACAAACTCCTGGCACTCTGCACGTCCGAGCCAGAAAAGCTTTATTAAAATGGCACACTGCCCAGTGTCCGTCTCTCACCCTGTGGCCACCAGCCCACCTCTGAAGGCTGTCTGGCTCCTCACCACGCTTGTTCTTTGATCATATTGCTTGACCTACTCTATCATTTTCTATGATCTTCTTTTCACTTTAATCCCTTGGGGGATTTTGCCTCTGAAACAAAAGGAGCTTTTCTTAGCAGCATAGCTTTTGAAATTACGGAGGCATCCACAGTTTCTGGCTCCAGGAATCTTTCTTGCCCAGCTTAGGATCTCAACTAGATGGTCAGCCAGAGGGAAGAAGGCAAATAATCATAAGTGTTCATTTCCTCAGGATTTTTGTGAGGTAGTGTCCTAGCTGTTCTCAGCACTTATTCCTGGTTCTGAGCTCAGGGATCACTCCTAGAGGCTCAGGGATCCATGAGGGACACTGGGAATTGAACTTGGGTCAGCTCTACAAGGCAAAGGCCCAATCCCCTGTACTGTCTCTCAAGCCCCACTCAGTATTATTACTTCCTGGAACTATAAGCAAAAGGAAACCTGCCTTTCTCTCTGAGTGAATGTATATATGTATATTTGCATGCATAAGAGAATGAGAGGTTCATTAGGGTACCAATAAAAGCACTCTCTCTCTCTCTCTCTCTCTCTCTCTCTCTCTCTCTCTCTCTCCACAACCCCCCCCCCCACACGCACACACACACCGCCCACAACCAACTGTGCTCTGAGCTTAGTCCTAGTTCTGTGTTTGGGGATCTTGTTAGTAGGCTCAGCGGACCATAAGAGGTGCTGGGTCTAGAACCCGGTTCCAGCATTCGCCAGGCAAGTGCCTTACCTGCTGTAGGCTTCACTCTCCGGCTTCTGCATTTCTGTTTCTCTGTTTTTCTGTAATTTAATAGAACTGCTAGGGATCCAAGTGATAGAACATGAGGTAAGGCGCTTTCCTTGCATGTGAGGCTCTGGCTTGAATCCCTGGCATCACATATATTTCTTCAAGCACCCCCCTTAGCAGTGGCTGAGGCCCCCAAACAAACAAAATGAACCTGTTTTCTTGTGGTGGTACTGGTGGTGTTTTTTATTTTCTGGGGTTGGGGGAGCAGCAGTGTATTTTGGACCACACCCAGCAGTGGTCAGGATATAGGCCTGGCTTTCCACTCCTGGTGGGCTTGTGTGACCATGTGTGGTGCTGGGGATCAAACCAGGTCAGCCCCATGCAAGGCGAGCACCCTGCCTGCTGTACTGTGTCCCTGGCCCCAAAATGAACCTGTTTTCTATTGCACGTGCACGTGTGCACACGCGCACGCGCGCGCGCGCGCGCGCGCGCACACACACACACACACACACACACACAAAACTCTGTTCTTGAAAGACACATCCAGGAAATAAGTAGGGAGGGAGGAGAACTATTTCTTCAATTCCAGACTTATGAAAACTTGATTGATACCTGGTTTGAAAATTTACCTTGACATGGAAACTTTTTTTTTTTAAATAAACACTGTGAGGTCACAGGGAAGGCATTTTTTAAAATGAAGAAAAAGGGGGGTATGGTGCCACCAGCAGGTCAATCTGTACCTGTGAGGCGATTACATCAGCAGCCTGATGGCACCTTCAGACTTCCAGATACCCCAAAATTGCTGCTGTGCCTTTGGCCAGACCCCAAAGTCTTGGGGCAAAGTTTACCAAGAAAGTAAACGGCCAAAAGTTAGGTATGTGGGAGACACACCTACAAACTACCTCTAGCTCAGCTATATACTTGGAGGCACGGCCTCTCTGGTTCCTGATCAAACTGTTTAACAGCCATGATCCCAGAGACTCAGAAACAAATCTCGAAACCCAACAGCTTTTGGCAGAAATGCATCCAGTCCCTGCAGCGGGTTACTGGCGCTGGACCACTCCAGGTGGAAATAGGTTTTAGTGCCTTGGCCTGTTCCCCCTGGCGGCCCAATGGCCGCCATCCTCCAGAGGTCACTGGATAGTCAGGTTTGGGCCTGCAGTGGTGAGACACATGGGGCCTCATGGTATGGGGGTGGAGCCGGCCCTTTCTTCCCCGTCCCAACAAGACCCCGAGTCGTCACCCACGAACAGCCTCTCTGGCTCCTGATCAAGCTGCTTAATGGCCATGATCCCAGAGACTCAGAAACAAATCTTGAAACCCAGCGGCTTTTGGCAGAAATGCGTCCAGACTGCGCAGTGGGTTACTGTTGCCGGGCCACCCCACGGGGGAAAGGGTGCTGTCCCTCCGCCTTATCCCCCTAGGCGGCTCGGTGGCCACCATCTGCGAGAGGCCATTGGACAGTCAGGTTTGGGGCCTCAATGATGAGACACGCGGGACCTCACGGGATGGGGGTGGAGCCAGCCCTTTCCTCCCCATCCCAACTAGACCCCGAGTCTCCACCCACAAACGGCCTTTCTGGCTCCTGATCAAGCTGCTTAATGGCCAAGATCCAAGAGACTCAGGAACAAGTCTCGGAACCCAGCAGGTTTAGGCAGAAATCCCTCCAGATTTAATTGTTAAAATTTCAGAATTTCAAAATCTCGTGGCCACTACTACAGCCATGCGACATCATATGTTATTCATAACCAGCAATAGAAAACAAATTGTCTACTGTTGCCTTTTCAGCAGATCTGAGTGTTGGGGTAAAATCCCAAATAATAATGGTAGGTCTGGTGTCAAAATATTGAATGTAATCAAAGTAGAGAGAGTAATATGGAAATCAATGGAAATCATCTGCCCCACAGGTAGGGGGAGGGTGTGGGATGGGGTATACTGGGGTTTTGGGGGATGGAGAATGGGCACTGTTGAAGGTATGGGTGTTTCATTGTATGACCGAGACTTAAACCTGAAAGCTTTGCAACTGCTCTCACAGTGATTCAATAAATAAAATTATAAAAAATTATAGCACAGCGGGTAGGGCGTTCGCCTTACACGCGGCCAACATGGCCGACCCGAGTTCGATTCCTCCGCCCCTCTCGGAGAGCCCGGCAAGCTACCGAGAGTATTCGATATGCCAGACACAGTAACAACAAAGTCTCCAATGGAGACGTTACTGGGCCCGCTCGAGCAAATCGACGATCAACGGGAGGGCCTTTACTTACTTACTTTTTAAAAAAGTAAGGTGGAGTTTATGCCCAATTCAATCAGCTAATCAGTGGCTGAATAAATAGCAGGACTCCTACATAAAAAAATTTTTTTTAAAAATGAAGAAAAACAATTTCAAGATATTCTAAAGGACTTTTAAAAAATACCCATTACTAATAATTAAAATTTTTGTGGGGTTTGAGGGATAGTACAGGGTTACTTGCCCTGCATGTGGCCAACCCATTTTCATATCCGATAACCACATATGGTTCCCAGAGCACCACTGGATGAAGCCCAAAAGATGAAAAGTAAAAATTTTTGGTGATATGAATGATAAAACATTTAACATACTACCAATCCCAAATGGTGCAAAGCAACTCCTGTGTGTTAATAGGCATCTCTTTAAAAAATTATATAGGCATCATGATTTTACAATACTGTTGATGATCAAGTCTCAGACGTCACCAGTGTCAGAGTCCCTTCAGCAATGCCCCAAGGTCCCCCTGCCACTCCCTTGGCAAACTCAGTTCTTTAGGTCACCTGTCAGGATCTGTTGCCATTGGACATTAGGTACTCCATACTGTTTTTTTTTTTGTTTGTTTAAATAAATATGCTAGCATTAGAGCACATCCCACCATACATGGGTCCTGAGTTCCATATCAGGCCCCACGGGCCCCCAAGCCTCCAACACCCGCCCCATATACTGATGGGTATATATCCTGAGCACTTCTGGTGTGTGGTCCTTTAAAAAAAAAAAAAAGAAAGAAAAAGAAAAACTGGTAAAACTTATTTAAGAAGTTCCTACTACACGATGTTTTCAAAAAAATTCTCATTTACATACCCTAAATCTGAAAAACAGTAAGGGTTTGGTTTGGTTTTGTGGTACCAGGGATTGAATATACAGGGCTTCACACATACAAGACAGGGCTTCACACATACATACAGGGCTTCACACATACAAGACAAACTCAGGAGTATAACACTGAGCTAGCCCTGGAATGGTAATATTTTGTAAACTTTCAATAATTAATAAAATGATGAGCTGCAAAATTTAAAATTTTTAAGTTTCTAACGTTCCATTTAAGTATATCAAGATATGTCATTATTGGTTACTTCTTAGGGTTTACATAATGCTGTTTGTTTTAGAATAATAGGTAATGCTAAATTTTTATATTTATAAAATCCTTTTTTCCCCCAGGAACTGAAGTGAAAAAAATTGAAGCTATAAACGTTCCTTGCACACAGATATCCATGTCATTTTTTAATCGGTTGTATGCTGAAAATATTGTGCGAGACAATGGACATATTGTGAAATGTTTAGATTCTTTTTGTGACCCTTTTGTTATTTCTGATGAGTTGCGAAAAGTAAGTACAGAATTTAAATTTCTCACAAGAGAATTTGTCAGCAGTGCATAATATCCACAATTTCACCTGCCAAAAAATATAAAATGGCTCTTAGTGAAAGATAATAACCTTTGGTGATGCTGGCATTAGGGGTTTTCTTCTGGAGTGGCAGGTCTACCATCCTTGTCTGTGTTTCAGTAGTTGTCAGCCTGCTGCACCTTAGAGCCAGGAGAGACGGCCCAGCAACCCTGCTGGCACCTGGCGCGTGCACAGCAACTGAGCAGCGAGCAGAGTGGACTTCTCTACACAAGGACCCTTTGCTATGGTCGAGGGTACTTAGCTTTACAGAATAGGGATTCAAATCAAGCATTTGCTGGTAATAACTCATAAATTTATTTTAGAACAATTTTTGGTTGTTTTTGTTTGGGGATCACTCCTGGTGCTGCTCAAGGGCCCTTCCTGTCTGTATGCTTGGGAATAACCCCTGGAGGCACCTTACCCTCTGGACTGTCATGTTTCCTGACTCCCATATTCAATGATGGGGCTCTAGCAGTGCTCTGGGGATCCTAAGCAGTGCTGGGATTGAATCTCAGCTTCTCGCAAGCCTGTGTGCTATCCCTGGCTCTAAGAACTGGTTCTTAAAATTAGAACCCAGATTATCTTTGCATACATTAATTGGATATTTTGAAAACATAAAGGTTAGAACCTCAGATTACATTACATTCTTATGACTGTTTTCCTTTTTTCATAGGTTTTACTAGAGGAAGACTCAGAAAAATATGAAATATTCAGCCCAGAGGATAGAGAAGAATTCCTGTTTCGTCTATTCAAACATCTTTGCCTTGGTGGAGCTCTCTGTCAGTATGAAGATGTGCTTAAACCCTATTTGGAAACAACAAAGCTCATCTATAAGGATCTTCTGAGGTATAGTCGCTAGATTACTATATGGAAATATCTGGTCAAGAGGGTGTTTAACTATGGTGGGATTCCATAGGCTCTGTTTGTTTGTGGTCATGTTACCAAACAAAGTGCGGGACAGCAGCATGCCCCTAAATCCCTTCTGATAGCTTCCTCCCTTCTCTCCCAAGCAGAAAAACTCCTACATTTTCCTGGACTTCTTCCCTGTATCTTCACATATGTAGTGAGGGAAAGCAGCACTTCCCCTGATAAAGAGTTATACTCACACATAAAAATACTATCTTAGATACATACATGTTTGTGGAGGATTGGGGTTGATTGTGTAGGTGCAGGCTACAGCAGGTGAGGGTCAGGAAAGAGGACTGGACCATTGGACTCTGCATAAATACTGGTCAGTGGAATGTCTTGGATCTATTGTTTAATTTCTACTATTATAATTGTTATATGAGATGCAGTATATGAAGATATTTTGCATTATAAAGCAAAAGCATTATAAAGCCTATATGTCCATGTGTAACAGAGAGCTCTGTATCAGTGGCTTCAGTTCCCAGCAATTGGCTTCCTCAGGCAATCCTTTGTGTGGTGAAACTGAGAGAAAAACTATTTGTTGTGATGCTGAGAATTGAACCCAGGGTCTCACACCTGCAAGGCAAATGCTTCCCTACTCAGCACAAATGAGGTGATATTTTTGTTTTTGCTAGGGGGTGACACCATGCAGCATTGGGGAGCTACTACCTGCTCTGTGCTCGGGGTCATTCCTGGTACTTGGGTGAAATCACATGGGTTGGGACAGTTAGGTCAAGAGATTGAATGCACATTTCGCATGCCGAAAGCCCAAGTTTGATCCTGAGCACAGAACTTGAGAGGAACCCCTGAATAACCTTTGAAACACAAAAGATAATGAAAGCTTTCAAATTAAGTAACAATAAACATAGGAATAACCATATCCTGTTTAAACTATTCTAGTTGGATATTACAAACTTTCCTACTTTATATAATGAATTAGAGCTCCTGAATACTTAAAAGACATCAATATTTTACTTTATTATTATTATTATTATTATTATTATTATTTGTTTGATTAGGGTCACACATAGCGGCTTCACACTTGGCAGTCAGTCCCAGCAATGTTCAGGAGGGGTCAGACCTCAGCCTCCTTTGTACCTTTTTGAATGTCCTATCAAGCCTGATTTCAGTATTTTAGATGTCTATGTCAATGCATTTTATATTTAAGGTGTATCTTTCCTCCTATTTTAGTGTTCGAAAGATTCCTCAAACAAAGAAAATACAAATAACATCTTTTATCTTTAAAGTTACTGCATATGTAAGTATTGAGGGAAATTTTACAACCAGTTGGCTATTAATTGGCTTATAACTGTTAGCAGCTAAGATGATTTTATACCTCAAATAAGAGATGATACTTAGTTTTCTGTTAACATAAAAATTGATCAAGTATGCTTTTATTAGGAGAACAGTATGAACAACCTCCCTTCCTTTTTATGTTTTGAGTCTGATCAGAGTTCTTACTGGTCTTGGAGCTATGGCTAAATCTATGACTCAGGTGGAACAGAGCAAAGCTCTTGATTGATTAAATACCTTTGTAAGACAGACAAAAAAGAAATGCCACAAATATCTTTATATCACAGAGATAATACTTGAAAATTTATATCACAGAGAAAATACTTCAAAAAATTAATTAATTTTAAATACATGTTGGATAATTTTGAAGTATATTTAATCACTCAACAGCTATTCCTTGAATATCTCTAGTGTGTCAGCTACTGTTGGACAAGGGCACAGTAATTAAAAAAAATAGTCCATGTCTTCATAATACCACACATAATACTGTGTTCCTTAAGAAAGAAAAGAGAGGAGGAGATTATAAAGTAGAAAATTTTACAATATTAACATTTTCATTTAAAAGCAGTTTTTAAACGAGTTTTACCTTTGATTATAAATTCATAAAAGCCAGAAATTCTTTATATTTACACAGAATTTATGCCTATGTATTGTTAGCACAAGAGATGGCTGTTCATAAAGCAGTGCCAATTTATTGTTGATGATTTTTTATGTTTCATATCTACACATATCTACATAGTTATCAAGTTGATGGTTATGTAAGCAAAGCTGTATGCTAAGTGGTTTGTCTTTTCTAGGATTCCATTGGTGTGTGCTATCCATCCACGAAGACCCATGAACAGACATTTTCTTACTTTATTGTGGATCCTTTTAGACGTCACCTTCATGTTTTCTACCACAGCTATGGGATGGGGGACATGTCCTAACCATGTCTTTAAAAAAAAATTTTCCATGTTTACTATTTTAAATTTTTACCAATTATTAAGTTTTTCTACTGACTGATACACATTTACTTTATATACTAATTCAAGTAAAAATATCAAGAATCTGTTTAAGCAAAGAAAATAAATAACCAAGATTAAATCTGTTTAGAATCCTAACCCAAGAACCAAATTCTATCCCTAACATAATCAGTACCTATACAATTGTGGTGGAAAATCAGAACTGAAAGTTGTTTATATTTGCTTTATTAAGATTCAAGTGATTATTCCATTTTCTTTGTATTTTAGTTTAAAAGCTAATTGATTCTGTGTTGAAATTGTGGCAGAAAACTAAATTTTCTATAGGGATCCCTAATTATTATCACTGAATTATTAGCCTTTACATTTTGACTTTCATTTCACTACAGCTCTTCATTGCAAAAAGATTTACATCTCTTGTGTTGTGAAGAATAATCCCTTGTTCTTATTTCATGCACTTTAAATCTCAATAAATGATAGTGCTCTGAAGTAATGGGACTCTTCTGTCACTTGGTGAAGCTGTAGTTCTGGTGGAGGAGAGCTGGAGCACAAGCCCTGCACCTCGAAGGACCTGCTCGAGTTCTTAGTACTGCTGGGAGCACCCTGAGTAGTGCCCTTGGAGTCAAACCCAACAGTGCCAGATGTGGCACAAAGATAAGAATAATAGCAACAACAAAACAGACTGCAGCTGCTCCCCAGCCAATGCAGGAACTCCCTATAAACAGCTGCTGTGCTGAGTCAGCAAAGAGTTGTGGGCCAGGAGTCATCATGCATTGTGGAGGGCACTTGCCTTTAACACAGTTGATCCAGGTTCCATCCCAGCATCCCCTATGTCCCCTGAGCTTGCCAGCAGTGATCTCTGAGTGCAGAGCCAGGAGTCAGCCCTGAGTACCATGGCCAAATGTGGTCCAAAAACTGAAAAAGAAAGAAAGTAAAGGAAAAGAGGGTTTCAGTATTGCTCTTACTGGACTCTGGGATGAACATATAGTGTATAATCTTCTGTTCCTATCATTTTGTGTATTTTGTATATTCCTTTGTCTTTTGGGTGGTGGTCACACCTCAGGCTGCTCCAGGACCATGTGGTATGAGGGATCAGACTTGGGGCTCCCCTGTGTAAAGTGTGTGCTCCAGTCATTTGAACCATGCCTAACCTAAGCTAAATTCTTTGACTTTTGTGGTTTTATTTTTTGTTGGTTGGTTGGTTTGGAAACCACATTTGACAGTGCTCAATGTTCCTAGCAGTGTTCAAGGGACCTTATGGTACTCAGGATCAAAATGAGGCTCCCCATTCAAAACATGAATTTCAACCTTTTGAGGCATCATCTTGGTCCCTATATTTTGGGGGGTCCACAGCTGGTGCTATTTAGGGACTGAACTTTTGCTCATACATCACTCCTGTGGCTGCTTTAGGGACCATATGCATTGCTGAGAATTAAAGTAGGTTTGGCCACATGCAGGTGCCTTTTCCATTGGACTATCTAGGTCTAGATTCTTGGTTTGGGAGGGGCATACCTGACTCTGCTTGGGGCTTACTCCTGACTCTGTGTTCAGGAACCACTTTCAGTGGGGGTTCTGGGGATCTTATGCAGTTCTAGGAACCAAAACATGGTTGGCTGCATGCAAGGCAAGTGCCTTATCTGCCATACTATCTCTTTGTCCCTCTAGATTTTTTTTTGAGGGGGGAAGGTGGCGGGGTTCACATCTGGCAATGCTTAGGGGGTTGCTCCTGGGTCTGCATTCAGTAATATCTTCTGGCAATGTTTGTACACCATATAGTAGGCCAGGGATTGAACCAAGATTGGCTGCATGCAAGGCAAACACCCTACCCTCTAGATTTTTTTTTTTTGAATCACCATGAGAACAGTTACAAAGCTTTCAGGCTTAAGTCTCAGTCATACAATGATCAAACACCCATCCCTTCACCAGTGCACATGTTACACCACCAGGAACCCCAGTATACCACCATCCCTCCCCCTGCCTATGTGGCAGATGATTTTCAGTTTACTCTCTCTTTACTTTGATTACCTTCAATTTTTTGACAGAAGACCCACTATTATTATTTGGAATTTTCCCCCAACATCAGACCTGCTGAAAAGGCATCATTAGATAATTTGTTTTCTATTGCTGATAATGAAGAGCATATGAAGTTGCAGCCTTGTGATTTTGGATTTCTGGTATTTTAGAAATTAAGTCCAGAGGGATTTCTGCCAGAATCTGCTGGGTTCTGAGATTGGTTTGTGTGCCTCTGGGATCATGGCTGTTCAGGAGTTGAGGAACTGTTCATGGGCGGCAACTTGGGGTCTCGTCTGGGCGGAGAGAAGGGCTGGTTCCACCCCCCATCCCAAGAGGCCCCACGCACTCCAACACTGCAAGCTCGTACTTCAGTGTCCAACAGGCTCTGAAAGATGGCGGTCACCATGCTGCAGACGGACAAACACCTTTCCCCTCCCGGGGCAGCACAGGACCGTAGCTTAATTCACAGTCCAGAAGCATTTCTGCCAGATTGGTTTGTGTGCCTCTGGAATCATGGTTCCGAGATTGGTTTGTGTGCCTCTGGAATCATGGCCATTCAGGAGCGGAGGAGCCATTTGTGGGCGGCCTCTAGATTATTTTTTAATGGAAAAAGTGATCCATATGTATTGCAGAGGTGTTGGCGAACCTTCTGGAAGTGTTGGGAATTTGAAGAGGAGCATGTTAAGAACATGAATCTCTGTGCTGTGGGGTATGGACAGTATTCTTGCATCAGAATCTGTGTATATGTTGAAAGGTAGCTGGCAGTGCAGAGTTAGAACTCAGAGTGAGGGAGTCTGTATCAGTTCAGAACCTAGCCCTGTGTCCATGAAGTTCACCATGGTAGCCCACTGCTTAGCAGGTGCTTCTCACCTTCCTCTGAGGACAAGCAGGATGTGGTATGAGAGGGAGAAGCAGGGCAGCCACTGACCGCAAGCAGGACGCATGTTGGTGCGGCAGTTCCTCTGCAGCCCTGAGTCTTGGGACATGGTGGACTTAACTGTGTTGTATGAGCTCAGCCATGCAGTTGTATAGAAGCCATCTCTGAAGGAGCAAGTCATCACCTGAGGGTAGTGGATTTTTCTCAGGTGACACGGTGACAAGTGACTACGGAATTTTTTTGTGGACCTGAGAGCATTCTTTAGCAATTCCAGAGTCCACTTAGGAAAAACGGCTTGCCTCACTTGGGACATTTAGATCACATGTTGGGGTAGGTATTCAACTGCAAGGGGAGTTGGAGGGAATTGAAGAGTCTGAAGGGACACAGGGAAGCTTTCTTGATGGAGGAACTGTTACTGGGAGCTCTGGGTGCAGAGCAAAGAAATTTGCGGCTTTCCAGTGGTACATGCATAGCACTCATTCAGAAGTAGTGTAAAATTGTGAAGTGATTTTCTGGATTGATAGGTCTGGTTGTGCTAAATTACGGTGAATGCTGAATTACAGTTTAAGTTCTGAGATCAAGTCAAAGATTATCATCATTGTTAAAGACCAGAATTGACTAGTCTTGAGTTACAAGCAGTGGATACCCGGGCATCATAAAGTGGATGACAAAAGGATGCTCTTTAGAAGCAGTTCAGAGAATGTTGGTGCAGGGTGAATGATGCAGTACTGGGTATCTGAGGTTTTCAGGATGGGAAGTGGGGACGGTGAGAGGAAGTTGTGGTCAGAGGGGAAATCCCTTGTCCGCTTGTCATTTTGTCTGAAACCACAGCCAATCCGCTTAGTTTCTCACAGCTCTGAAATCCTTGAACTATAGTTCTAGAAATAAACCAGAGACTCCATAGAAAAGTATCTCCCCTGGAATTTCTCTGTTACATATGTACTCATTTATTTGATTTTGTTTTGTTTGGAGACCACAACCGGTGGACTGGAGGGCCACTTTCAGTAAGGTACTCAGAGGTCCTTTCCATTGGGGCTCATGGGACCTTGTGCTTCCAGACAGAATCTAGAGCCCTTGCGTGCAAAATCTGAACCTTGGCCTTTAAAAAAAAAAATCCCATTAGCCCTAACCAGCAGTTTTTAAAAAGCATTTATTTTGGTTTAGGGCCACACCTGCTGGTGCTCAGGGGCTCTTTCTGGCACAGTACTAGGGGTTGTTCTAGTGCTTATGTGACAGTGTGGGACCAGAGATTGAACCTCGGCTGCCTACATGCCAAGCATGCACTCGAGCCTTTGAAGCATCCTCCCAGGCTAATTCTTCAAAAGAATCTCTCTCACTTGGTGGCCACAGAGAGACAGGGCAGGGTTAAGGCGCTTACCTTACATGTAGTTGGTCTGGAGGTCCCCAGTCATTTCCAGGGTGACCCGGGCAATCCCCAGCATGCCAGAGTATGAGCAGCGCTGCCCTGAACTGCCACCTCACCAGTTGAGTGATCCCCAACTTCCATGAGAATCGCCAACTGAGGGGATCCCTGGGCCTCCCAGGCACTGTATGGGACACCCTCCACAATCACAGATGGGGGTTGAGAGATAGGACAGGGAGCACAGTGCTTGCCTGGCACGCTGCCATCCCTGGTTCAAATCCCCAGCCCTGCTTACGGTCCTAATAACACCACTAGGGGGCACTCCTGAGCACAGAGCCAGGAATAGCCCCTGAGCATCAACAGGTGTGGGCCCCCTTTCAAAAGAGACCCAGCCAGCTGAAGGCAAAAATAGTATTTTTTGGTGAAGTACTATACTGCTGTTACCTACTGTGTGATACTTATGTGATACTTTGTTGGCACTGCAGCAAGGCCAGAGCTGAATATTCTCTGTAATCAGGTGCTTGTGTTATAGTACTCCCCTAGCAGTGCCAGGTGCCCCGAGAGACAGAATTATTCACACACTCTCATGACACTTGAAGCTTGGTTTTGTTGGGGTCGGGGAACACCTGACAGTGCTCGGGGAGGTGCTCCCAGCAGTGCTTGGGAGGACCATCTGGTGCCAGGGATCAAAACTAAGTGAACCACATGCAAGATAAGCTCCCTAACCCCATCTCATCTCTCTAGCACAAAACTTGACATTAGACAATCACACACAGTTGTTTTGCAGGACTGAGGATGTGACTAGTGGTAAAGCACATGTCTTGAATGCGTAAGACCTGGTTTGAACTTTGACCCCAAGTGTAGGTGGGCGGCGGGGTAGTGTGGGAAATATTATTTTCAATTTGTTGCATTTGATTTTTTTGTTCTGTTTTGCTTTTTGGGTCACACCCGGCAATGCACAGAGGTTACTCCTGGCTCTGCACTCAGGAATTACTCCTGACGGTGCTCAGGGGACCATATGGGATGCTGGGAACTGAACTCGAGTTGGCAGCATGCAAGGCAAACGCCCTACCCGCTGTGCTATCGCTCCAGCCTCCCCCCCACCCCACACACACCCAATTTGTTGCATTTGAAATGGTACCTTTTCATTGTCCTGAAAACTAAGTGAACCACATGCAAGATAAGCTCCCTAACCCCATCACTTTGTGTGTGTGTG